ACAGAGGCACGCGCGCCGCCCTCCTTTCTCCCTCCCTTTCTCCCTCCCGGCCACACGCCCACCACCAGCTCTCTTTCTCCCCCCCCCCGCTTGCGCCTGCCACCCCACCCAAGCAAAGGGGTGCAAGTAGGTGCCGGCTGCTTCGCTCGGCAGCCAGCCTGCCTTCCGGATCTCCTTCCCCGGGACTGAGGCGAGAGGACAGTAGCCCCCCCTCCCCACGCCGCCTCCGCTCCTCTCCTTCGAGCTTCTAACAAAGGCCGGCGCACGAGGCGAGGGCGGCAGCGAGGGGTGTCCGCCGTCCGGATGCGGTGAGAGCGGCTGGTGAAAGCGAGGAGGGCAAGGGAGAGGGGAGACGGCGCTCTCGCCATCGCTTGAGCTTCCAGCATGGGCTGCTGCACCGGCCGCTGCGCCCTGATCTTCCTTTGCACCCTGCAGCTGGTGAGTAGCTGCCCTTTTGCGCCTAGGAGGCAGCCGGCTTGGCATCGCGCCCCCCTCCGCGCTGGCAGGCTGCGATTCTTTGGGGCAAAGAAAGGAAAGGACCGCTTCCACGTTTGCCTTCTACTCACCCCGCTTCTTCGTCTCCACCCCTCCCCCTGGCCAGTTCTGTATTGATCGCAGCCCCCCCTCCCGAATCCTACCCTCTCAGCTGGCGGCTGTCTCGGACCGACTGATCCGGGCACGCAAGCAGTTGAAAGACCACGTCACCTCGCCCCTTCGGGCGTTATCACTCTAGTAGCCGCCCCACCATGGACTCTAGCGGCAGGGCTACGGGCTAGTAGGAAGGCTATATTGATGGTTTTTCTTCCCTCTCCCCCGCCTTTTAGGGATGACCAACTTTGGTGCGGCGAAGGGTTGTCCCAAGTGTGAAGCACCTGGCAATCCCCCTTTTCTTCTTCTCTGTCTAGTGCACTGGTACAGAGTGTAGACTAGAATCCAGGGATTGACTTTGCTGATTTGCGGTGGACCTTTACTCCAGAAGAGAAATTTCAGCTGCTAAGGAATAGAGATGCTCTCTTGTCCAAGAGGAACCAGTAGTGGCTGAGCCTCCAGGACGGTTGTGCCTGGACTGATTATCCCATGCATGGCACAGTTGCCCAAAGACAGAGAGAAAAATGTCCGTTTAAGTGGCTGGCATTGCTAAACTGATGTCCAGCTCGATGCTGCCTTCCTCAATCCTGCCTGGGTCTAAAGATGGGTTTTCAAGCTTACCTATAGGGAAGAGTAGTTTCAGAAGAGGCACCACAAGCTTGGGAGCAAACCGATCCTTTTCAGATACTGAGCAATGTTCAGGTCCTTGCTTTAGTTATAAACATATATGCGTCTGGTGCAAAGTGTGTTCTGGTTTTTGTTCTTTGTGTTTTTCTCCTTGTTTGGAAAATGAAGATCTCTTTCCATTGTAAGGGCTGGCCTCTGGGTAACAGCACCAAGTCCTGTTCTCTCCCCCCCCCCCCCCCCAATTGGTGTCCTGTGTTTTGTTTCTGTGGCTTATAAGGTTTCTATGCCAGTTTACTTTGATTCTGATTCTCATTCTGTGTTCATTTCAAGGCAGTTGAAAGTCTCTGTGTGGTGGAAGCACAGGTTTCCTCCCTCCCTCCTGCAGTGTGCTTAAATAAGATATTTAGATATTGCACATTCTATGGAAGGCTCACTCCATTGTCTCAGCTTGACAGCTGCGTATTAAAAGCACTTCATGATCAATACGAGGTCAAGGTGTCCAAGCAACACTTGAGGATCTGATGAGTATAATGCATACCTCTCTTTCTCTCTTTTTAAATGGCTTATGAGGCTCACAGAAGGTGAAATCTTAACTCTGCCCACAGTTTGTGTATTTTTTCAAACTGCTTTGAAAAAATATACATAAACTGCATATTTGTTTGGAGAAAGGCAGTTCTACTGCATATTTGTTGGGGTTTTGCAGTTTGATTTTGAATCTTGTTACCAAGAATCCCTGGTTTGTTTTAGCTAAATGGAGAAAACAGGCAGAACTGAAGCGAAATGAGGACACCTTTCTGGGTATTCCTTTCATGAGAGAAAGTGGGGAGGGGAGATGTTTGCTCTGAATAAATCATCCTCCATGCTAGTGCATGGCTCAGGGCCTGGTATGTGGTATAAATTCCATCCTCTAATCAGCTCTCTCTATAAAGATGTGTTTCTATATTTCTTGTGTGTGCATGCATTTATTTTATTTTCACTTGTTTTTGTGCAACAGTTCTACTGAAAATAACTGTTAGCAGATATGAGTTCCAGCAGTATTTTAGTAAAAGAGCATCACTTCCTCAGTATTTTACTGCCTTGAATCATTTCAGAACACTGTTGCCATTTTACTGCTCGTTGCTTGTGTGCATAATATGGTTTGCTTGTTGGATACTAGCAAAAGAAAAGACAGTTCAAACATTTGCTTTTGGATATATTCAAGATTAAACTTTTTTAAAAAAAGGGGGAAATGTTTCAGGAACCCTCTGTGAATGTGTGTGGTTTTGATCTCATAATGCTGTTATAAAATAATCACTGGGGAGCAAACAATGAGTGTGGAACCTCTGGCCCATTGTTGCATTAGTTGGTTTGTTGGTTACTTCCATGTAGTTGCAGTTTTGCATCTCAGCAAGGACCCAAGGGTGGAGTAGGACACCTTGCTTTGAAATAACTGTGAGGTGACCTTTAAAATAAAAGGACAGTGATAGGCAATGAGTTTACTAGCCTTTACTATGTAATCCCATGGATGTTTACTTGGAAATAAGTCACATTTCATTCAGTTGAGCTTAAGTTGCAATCTGATGTACAGTTACATGGCTTAATGCCAAGTAAACATCCACAGGATACCACACTATCAGTTACTTTCCCCATAGAGTATTTTATTTTCTATACAATGGTGACAATGACAGCAACAAAAAGTGTATTAATTTTTGCCAGCGAACAACAATTAGTTTGTCATTTAAGGAATTCACAGTTGAACACAACATTCATTCTACAATATGTGCAAAGAATAATAAAATAATGGTAATTACATTTTTTAAAAATATATATCTTTTCTGACATTTAGGAGCATTTTATAATTCCATCGGCAGATCACTCTTATGGGAATGAAGGTGGGAGAATTCACAGAGGAATGGCTGCTTTCTTAGCCTCATGTGGCTTATACTTCCCAGGACACAAAGTTGGGGATGAAGCATTTTCCCTTTCCCCTATTTTTGAAACAGTCATGTCAGGAGAAGAACTAGCTCTGTCAGTTCTCAGGATGTTGCATTTTCCTTCTTGTGGTACCATGCATAGCACTCTCCTTTTGGAGCAGCAGAAGCAATGGGAAAGGCTCTGTGAATGGACCTCTTTCTCCATCAGTTCTACTCCTTAACACAGGTTCTATGTTGGCTACAGGGTTAGTACCTTTCAAAAGTTTGCTGTTGGTTGTAAAGGCCTTTGTCTCCTCTCTCACATTCTTTGAAGCTATCTTGTTTCTTCTTTTATGGAAATGGGTCTGATGGATTCAATAATAAATGACTCAGAGTTCAAAATATTGTTTAAATAAGGCATTTCTGTCTGGATGACTTGCTGGTCTTATAGAGATGGTGCTTGAGGCTCATGAACCATGTGGGACAACCTTTACAGAAGTCTTACATGTCCGTAAGTCAGTCACCCAATTGGAGTGAGTGTGGTCTGAGGGTGACTGACCTTGCGTCGCTCCCCTTCTCATGGTCAGATCACCACTTAATAAAATGTAATCTCTGAGTGGCTCTCCCCCCTCCCAGGGAGCCTGGACCTATTTCTACGGTCTGCCCTTGAAGGCTACTGGATCTCATAGGATTCCAAGATTCCATGAGAGGGATTTTGGCTGATCTGGCTGGTGCTCCTGTCGAGGCTCTGGTGGATGGCTGGTATACCACTGGCACCAGGACTGTAGACACAATTGCTTCTAAACGCCCTCTCCAACACAGAGCTCGGCCTGCACCCTGGTTTAATCAGGACCTATGAGTGATGAAACAATTTAGGAGAAGGCTAGAGTGCAAATGGAGAAAGAACACGAAGGTCACAACTAACCTTTCCCATGTAAAGGCTGCTAGCTGAGTACATCTCGCTAAGCGAAGTACACCTTGGATAAGCAAAGCTTCAACCCAGCAGGCGAAGCTTTTCCGTATAGTGTGCAAACTATCCGGAATTGGTCAAAGTGATGGGCCTCCCTCTAGTATTTCACCAGACCAATTTGCAGCATTTTAAAAATCTAAAGTGGAGGCCATCTGCCGGAAGCTCTCTCCTTTGTTGGATACAGTGGATCAAGCAGAGATGTCCAGTCCAGCACTCTGCCTTGCCCAGCGATTATTGATCTCTTTCAACCTGTTCCACCAGATATTGTGGACAAAGTGCTTGATTGCTGTCGGGCCACCACCTCACCCCTTGACCCTTGCCCCGCCTGGCTGATCAAAGCAGCCAGGCCTATAACAATTGAATGGACCACAACAATAATTAATGGGTCTTTCCTGGAGGGCAGGGTACCCCTTGCCCTCAAGGAGACACTCATTAGGCTGATAAGTAAGAAACCTAGTTTGGCGGCGGACGAAATTGGGAATCATAGGCCCGTCGCAAATGTTTCTTTCATGAGCAAAGTGGTGGAGAGTGTGGTGGTAAATCAGCTTCAGGCTCATTTGGATGAAACAAATGCCCTGGGTCCATTCCAGTTGGGTTTTAGGCCGCGCCATGGTACAGAAACGGCATTGGTTGCCCTGTATGATGACCTATTGAGGGAGGCTGACAGAGGTAAAACATCTCTGCTGGTCCTCCTCGATATCTCAGCTGCCTTTGATACCATCGACCACAGTATCCTCCTGAGGAGGCTCTCCGAGTTGGGAATTGGTGGCCTGGCGCTGGCCTGGCTCCAATCCTTCTTGGACGACCGTCCTCAGAGAGTACAGATTGGGGAGAGGGTCTCGGCCCCATGGAGCCTCAATTGTGGAGTTCCGCAGGGCTTGATTATCTCCCCAATGCTGTTTAATATCTACATGAGACTGCTCATGTAGGGGTCATCAGGGGGAGTGGAGCATCGTGCCATCAGCACGCTGATGGCACTCAGCTCTTCATCTTCTTTTCACCAACTGCAGAGGATGCCCTTCTATCCCTTCAGACTACCTTTGAGATTGATGCGGAAGATCCAAATGGTGCAGAATGAGGCGGCCAGACTCCTTAGTGGGGTGAGAAAATACCATCATATCACTCCCACTCTGGCCGCTTTGCATTGGCTGCCTGTTCGGTTCTACATCAATTTCAAAGTATTAATGCTTACATACAAAGCCACCTAGAGTGGTTGCAATGACCAGATAGGCGGGGTATAAATGGAATAAATAAATACCTAAAATAAATAAATGGTTTGGGGCCTCGATATTTGGCAGAACGCCTGCTCCCACCAAAATCTACCCATATCTACTTGATCTAGCCAGGAGGTGAAGTTGAGG